AAGATATTTTTTTTTGACAATTAGAAGTAAATCTCCAAAATGCACTCATTCAGGTGGCTCTTAAATGACTGCAAAAATAAAAAGGAATTGATACCGTCTTCTTATGAACCTTTAAGGCCAGGTATGTTAGATGTAACAGATATCTGAATTACAGTAACCTTACTTCTGTGTAGCAATTCTGCCCTTGGCAAGAGATAATTAAGAAAGGCATGAAAATCAATCTGAATGTATCAAAAGGAAAGCATTCTCTAGTTAACAGCAGCAACAGTTATGCAAACAGATAAGCAACATTGCTTAGAAAAAGAACAGCAGGTGATGTAGGCCTCTATTTTAAACCAAATTGACCAGCTTCCCCAATAAATTCATAACAAATAAATAACATGTCCAATGAGAATTTCATTGTACATTGCTTTGGGGGTATTTTTGTAAATGTATCCAAAGATCTTCAGTTTCTTCCATCTTATAAATCTTATATCTTGGAATCCTTTGATCACAATAAATCCTTCCACTGAAACCTTTTTTTCCCCATCACAAAACAAAAGAAAAGTAGTTGGTCAGTGTCTCTCCCTTCCCTCTTCCACTCCCATCATTATCTTAAGTGGGACTGTCAGGCAGCATCATTCTTAAGTGCACTTGTGAAACTTGTGGAGGTCTCAGAAAAAAAGTTTGGCTTGAACACGGCTAACAGGATATTCCCTTACAGTGATGCAAATCTTGTTTTTAGCATGTGCCGGAGGACTTAGAAGGCTGAGGTGACACATTCAATATCTTTCCATTCTTTTGCTGTTAAGCTTTTGGAGATAAAGAGATTCACTGTGCAAAGAACAATGTTGATGAAGAAGAATGGTAAAGCACTAGGAGGGTGGCAGAGCATTGGAACAGGCTGCCCAGAGAAGCTGTGGAAACTCCATCTCTGGGAATTTTCAAGAGCAGGTTAGACAGATACATGGCAGGATGGTTTAGTCAGGGATGACCCTGCCTTGAGCAGGGGGCTGGATTAGATGAACTCATGGGGTCTCTCCTACCTCTACTTTCCTATAATCCTATGGTCCCTATAACAACAAAGAAGTAACTGACAACATAGGTAGACTGTGAATATTACTTCAGTCTATAGGTAAGTCTACAATTCTGGTACTCTTGATTGTTTGGAGCATTTCATTTTTTTAAAAACAGGGATCTCATAATGCCTATCAAGGACATGATTGACAGCACAGGTAAAGATTAGCAGCATAGGCCCAGAATATTAACTAGCTAATCTGGGCTACAGCAAGAGCATGGGGGATGTGTCTGAGTTTAATGACTCCTGATGGAAGGCTCTAAGAATCATGGCAAGTCTTGGTTCCTCGCATTTCTTCCCCAAAAAACACTGTCCTCAACACACCCAAGCTCTTTATTTTAAACTTAGCATAGTTTACAGCAGCAGGAACTACAATACTTTGCTCTTATACAATCATTTTGACCCACAGATACCAAAGTCCTTTACAAAGCAGACCAGCATAATTAGGCCAATTTTCCAGATGGAAAACTGAGGCAAAGAGAACTGAAGTAACTTGCCCAGGGCCAATCAGTAAGCCAGTGATAGAGCCAGTGAAAGCACTAAGGGTATGTTTACACTACATTATCAGTGTGTTTAGGAACAGATACTCTTTAAAGAGATGGGAACATGCAGGGAGATAGTGTATGCTCCCATTTGTCCATGCATCAAACCTAGAAATGGGACACTGAAGCCAGGCTGGTGACACCACTGTCTCCCCCAGGGCCACTCTTGAGAACTCCATTTCCAGTGTGTTTGGGAGAAGCCTTAAGGGATGCCTCCTGGAGCAACCTTCTGCATTTTCAGTTTTTTTATGTGCAAGCATCACCTCAACCTGATGTCATTTAATACAGAGAAATGTAAAGTGCTCCATCTGGGGAGAAATAATTCCTAACACACTTACAGGAGGAGACCTGGGTGTCATGATTGACAACAAAATGAGCATGAGCCACCAATGTGATGCCGTAGCTGGTGGACTTAATCAAACACTGGCATGCATCCACTGAGGCATCTCAAGCAAGGCAAACAATATCATCCTCCCGCTCTATTTGGCCTTAGTGAGTCTGCAACTGGAGTACTGTGTCTAGTTCTGGGCTCCGCACTTCAAGAAAGATGTGGAGAAGCTCAAGAGAGTCCAAAGGAGGGCCACATGCATGATTAGAGGCCTAGGGACCAGGCCGTAAGAGGAGAGGCTGAAAGACTGTTCAGCCTGGAGAAGAGAAGACTCAAAGGGGACTTGGTAAAAGCCTATATCAGGGATGCACATCAGGGCTTGGAGGAGAATCTGTTCACCCAGGCCCCCCCAGGGAAGGACAAGAAAAGATGGGTACAAACTGATTGAAGATTGCTTCAGGCTAGACATAAGGAAAAACTTTTTTACAAGTCAGGTGCCGAGGGTTTGGAACAGGCTCCCCAAGAGGTGGTACAGTCATCCACCCTGGCGATCTTCAAAACACATCTTGACGCCCATCTTGCTGAGGTCATCTGACCCCAGCAGTCTTTCCTGCCCCAGTGCAGCAGGGCTGGACCCGATGATCTGTAAGGTCCCTTCCAGCCCCTAACAACTATGAAACTATGAAGCAGGAGCAAGTGAGCAGGGTGTGCTCAAGAACAACTATCCCAAGGCATGCTGGGAATGCAGTGTAGACTTACCCCAACTCTTTTGACTTCCAGTGCATTGTTCTTTCCTTTAGGCTACATTGCTGCCTCTACAATGACCTCTGGGTATTCATATAATTGATTGTTCTCCCCCCCTACTACTGGCAGTGGAAGCTTGGTGTCTTATTTGCTATTACCAGCCTTTCAAGGTAGAATTCACACGCTGATTTCCTGTTGATTTAGGACTCTCCACCCGCCTCCCCCCAGTAGAAACTTCTGCCTGTGCATGGAAGAGGAGCTAGCCTATCTCCAAAACAGATCTGGAGGGCTGATTATTCAGTACATGCTCAAGCCACCAAAAGTGTAGTAGAAAGTAGAAAGCCACTAGCTTGTAGAAAGGAAATCAAACTTGCTGAGGGAAAAGTCCAGTTGTGAGGAGGGAATTTGGTGCTGAAACTGCCTGCTTTCATTCTGAGGTTATCTCCACTTGGGTCTGTGTGAAGTTGGCTTTGGAACCTGATTATACTGGAAGTGAACCACACAGAGTTCAACTCCTTGTGAAATGAGTGAAAAGGACCATGTGAGGGGCTGAAGCTGAAGACTGAGGTACAATATATCACAGCTCACTGGAGTACATGGTTTCATCACTGAACAGTGCATACTATGGGAACTCAGTGGGCCAATATAGAGAAAGATATAGGATGATGTAAACAACATTCTGGTATGCAGGTGTAAATGTGGATGCAAACAAGTCTATGTTCCAATGCCATCAACAATTTACTGAGAATTTAGAAGAGAATTGAGAAGGTAGAAGACTCAAATTGTTTCTTCTTGCTGTTGTGTTGCCTGTTACACCCTTCTTTCAGGATACCTAATAAGTGAATTATGAGAACTGAAACCCAGCTTCATTGGGTCTAAATCACAGGTGGTCTGGACAATGGATCAAAAATACTATATTTTTGTGGGAAATAAAAAGAAAATTCCTTGTGATTTTTTTATTTTTCAAAAACCACAACAATAAAACCCAGAAACAATCAAGCAAAGCACCTTTTTAGTTTTCACAAAACATGCTTGGTCAAAAAATAGGATTTTGCTATAGAGGTCTGGATTCCAAAAATAATTTTTTGTAAAAAAAAAAAAGGCTGAAATGTTGACAGAAAATATTTGGATTTCTAATTTCCTCTTCTTTTCCCCTTAAGCTGGAAATTGTTGGTAAAACCGAACAGTTTCTATAAACATTTCCATCTTCAACCAAAAATTTCAATGAAAAAAATGTAGTCAGCTTTAGCAATCTATGTAAGTTACACATTGATGAAAGGAAATACACTGGAGTCTGAATGAGTCTGAGTTTAGACACACAGAACTTCAGTTACATCTATACTTCTTTTATAATGAATCCAAGACCATTGCCAGGAAACCTGGCCACTTGCCCCTGCTCCACATATACTGCATGCTAAAATTTCTCTCTGGTTACATGGTTGCTTTTTGGCATGCTCCCAAAGATGCTGTCAGGCCCTCTATGTCAGGAGACCTCATGTGTAAGCCTAGCTATTCTCTAATGGTGACCACATTTTTTTCAGTCTGTGAAGTGGGAACAAGTGGGTGAGCCTATTTTACAGCATATTCTCAGATGTTGAACTGTCTGGGAAAAGCTGTACTCTACCTCATCTGAATTTATCCTGATGTCTTGTCTGAGTTAGGAGATTCTTGTTCTGATAAGGTTTTGTTGCGGCAAAAACACATGTAGAACTAGGAGACCTTTTTCTGAGAATAGCTGATTTACTGAAAAATGTAGTTTCCTCAAAACTACAACAAATTCAGCCTGATTTTGCCGAACAGTTTCAACTGGAAAATAATGCTCACTATAAACACTTACTTTTGGCAAATAATAAATTAAAGCATCGTGGGCATGGCCATGCTTTCTCCAGAACCAATGGGAGTTTTGCTATCGACTTCAGTGAGACCATGATTGACCTGCTGACCTTGGACAAATGTTAATCATTGCTGTCTCAATTTGAGGGCTCATACAAATTAGTCCAATTGATACCAACTGACAGTAATTATGAAAAAAAGGATTTAGCCCCTGGAGAGCTGAAATTCTCAATGTAACTGATCATTGTTAATTTTGGAGCCCAGTCCTCAAACCCTTCTGTAGGTGTATAGACCCTTGATTTCGATGAGATGACTCGTGTGCAGGATCATGCCTTTTACTGCCACAAAAGTTGACAACTAAAGCTCACACACAGTGAGAAGCAACAGGTTAAATGTTGGTCTGTTTGGGTACCAGTAAAGGCTCTGTACAGGTTACAACATTTTTATAGTAATTCGCTTTTATCTCTTTTTTAAAGCCAATGCAACACATTCTTACCATTTTTGCAGACAGGACAACACTGTTCTGGTTCATAGACTGGGTTGACACATTCAGGAACTGCGCAGTCTGCTACAACACAGTGAACTTCATTGCTGGGCTCACAGCGACACCATTCGCATGGAGAGGGCTAGGAACAAATCTAAAATTAGCCCATTTCCTCCTGTAGCTCAAAAGTTTGTAACATTTACATGTTGCCATAAGATAAAACATCAATGCTTAACATGTCTTCACCGTATGAATTTATCGTGTGCAATACAAATCAACCTGGAGGACAAAACCCCCCTAAAAACCAAAAACCCAAACTCACCCCAATAAAGTCTGAAAGATGCAGAGTATTAGGGGCTATGTCTGCATAGTAAATGTTCTGTGCTGCAGAGTGGTATCCTCAAGCACAGAGTGGGAACCAGTGTAATGGTGTCAGCAAGGCACTCAGGGACCGTTAATCAACACTGCCACTCAGCAGTGCTAAACAGCATGGCTGAAGCATGCTGTGGATGTGGCTACCTTCCTTCAGGTTTAGGAAGCCTCTTTCCTGGAGCAGTCTAGTGTACTTGAGGATGCAGCTCTGGAATGCCGTAAGTTCACTGGGTGGACATGCCCACATAGAGCCATAAGAATGATAGTTTATAAGGAGCTCACTTGCTCATTGCCTATTGCCACACTTACCTCCCTTTATAAGAGGACCCTGAGATATATCTAAAACAAGAAACACCAGGCAGACACAGGAATAAATATCACATACTGTGTCCCTCTGTTCTGCTGATCTGTCATCTTGTGAGCAAGGCTGATATATAAGATTTATAAGAGCAGGACACTCGTAAACCTCAGAATTGTGGCTTTTCTCAGTGAAGGGATAAGTGTGTAGAGGACAGAGGGACAGGATCAAATGCACATGCACATCATGTGCAAACTCATGATCACAAATAAATCAAATGCCCTGAGCATGTTGGTGCTGAGTCAGCCATCACCAAAGCTGAAAACTTAGCAATGTTGCAGCCAGTGGCAGCACATAGGGAGGTGCACGGGGGTGCATGTGCACCCCCTGAGAGCACTGGTGCACCCCCTGATCAGCCGCACTTTCTGCTTAGGTGATGGGCAGGGGAGGCAGGTGGAAGCGCCAATGCCCCCCCTGCAAGTACAGGCAGATGGCTGCAGCTGCTCCCAGAAGTGGCCACAGCCACTCCTGGAAGCGGCTGCAGTGATCAGCTGCAGGGGAACTCCCTCCAAGCAGCAAGATCTGCCGTGGGGGACCTCCCATCAGGCAGCGAGACTGGTTGGGGGGGGCACATGCCCCCCCCTAAGGTGGCACCAGTCTCCCATGGTTGCAGTTTTGTTTCTGAAAATCTGAAACATTTTTTGCTATTAAGGAAAGTTGCCATTGTTGTTCATGCAAAGCACAAATCCTATTTTTGTTGTCTCTGGACAGTGCCTAGCACAATGGGGACCAATTTTAAGCATAGGAATAACTTAATTTAAACCAATCAGTCAGTTTAGGCCTATAGTTACATTCCAAGATAAAAAGGTTATATTTTGGGGTGTGTCAATCTAAACAGTGGCACTTTAAGTTGGTAGAAAGAGTTCTCTTCATCTCACTTAAGTTTTCTTTTAACAGGGAGTTGAAGAAATGTATGACAAATATAAAAGGCATTGTTTAAGGTCTTAGCACAATGTGTATGTGCATGCACCCCTGGATGAAAGAGAGGCAGATCGACTGAGAGAGACAGAGAGGAACTAAGGGGAGAAAAACAAAAAGCCACATAAAAAATTTGAAAGCAAATTAATTGGAAAATCATTTTGCTGCAGAGTAAAGAGTTTGGGGTTGGGGAGAGACTGTCTTGTCTGGTTTACACAAATGATTTCAGTTGTTGTTGCCCATTGACATAGAGAATGTGGGTGAGCAGCTACGAACGGGGCTTATTCAAGGTAACAGCCATTCAAGGGAAGCTGGGATCATTGCTGGCTCCGGTTACCAATGCTTCCTTTTGGGAATGCACAGTGCCAGCCATTCTTCAGTCTATAATTGTCCACCTCCTACTCAAGAAACCATGTCTTGATGCTAAATCCCTAGCTGGCTATCACTCTGCTTCAACTTCCTCTTTTCGGGGAAGGTCATTAAATGGGTGTTTGCCAATCAGCTCTAGGTGCATCTGGATGTGGTCAGATCCCTGGATCCCTGTTAGCCTGGTTTTCACCCTGAATAATCTTTTCTTAGTGATTAATAAAAAAAATTGTGCCCTGATGATCCTACTAGAGCTTCCAGCACCTTTTGATACAGTTGACCATGAAATCTGGATAAAGCATTTGCATAATCTGGTGGATATTCTTGGGCGCACTCTTAATTGGTTCCACTCTTT